TCGTTTAAGAACCCAGCAGAAGTGAGAATTGTTTAAGAACCCAGCTCGTTTTGGCCAAGCTGGGCTGATTTTCAAGGGGTTTACGCACCGAAATCCACGGCAGAGACGTTTTCCCGCTCGCCCGCCACGATTTTATAGCCGGGGCCGTTTCCGTAGAGAATGGAGGTGAAGGGTTTGCGATCCACGTCGCTCTGCATCGGGGCCAGACCTGGCGGTGGCGCACGGTCAGCAGGACGGGATCCCCCCATGGTGTCCCCCAGCTGTCCCTGGGTTGTCCCCCAGCTGTCCCTGGGGTGTCCCCCAGCTGTCCTAACAGTGTCCCTCAGCAGTCCCCACAGCATCCCCCAGCTGTCCCCAGGGTGTCCCTCAGTTGTCCTCAGGGTGTCCCTCAGCAGTCCCCATGGTGTCCCCCCAGTGTCTCCATGGTGTCCCCCCAGCTGTCCCCAGGGTGTGCCCCAGCTGTCCTCAGGGTGTCCCTCAGCAGTCCCCATGGTGTCCCCCCAGCTGTCCCCAGGATGTGCCCCAGCTGTCCCTGGGGTGTCCCGAAGCTGTCCCCGGGGTATCTCCAGGTTGTCCCCAGGGTGTCCCCCGGGTGTCCCCCAGCTGTTCCTGGGGTGTCCCCAGGCTGTCCCCAGTGTGTCCCTCAGCTGTCCCAAAGGTGTCTCTGGGCTGTCTCTGAGCTGTCCCCAGGGTGTCCCCCAGCTGTCTGTGGAGTGTCCCCGAGCTGCCCCTGGGTTATTCCCAATCTGTCCCTGGTGTGTCCCCCAGCTGTCCCCCAGCTGTCCCCAGCGCCCTGGCCGGGCAGGGCTCACCAAAGATGGGGTTCCCTCGGGGGGTGTAGCCTCCGAAGGTGAACACGTGCGAGTGGTCGGCGGTGACGACGCTGAGCGTGTCCTGGGTGGACGTGAGGCGCGTGGCCAGCCCGATGGCCCTGTCCAGCTCCACGGCCTCGTGCAGCGCCTGCTTCGCCTTCCCCTCGTGGTGCCCGTGGTCGATGCGGCCGCCTGCGGAGCCGGGCACCGCTCGGCATTGCCCTCCTCTTCCCAGCCTTGCAAAGCCCTTTATTCCCTTCCTGTGTCCTCTCCTCACCCCATTTATCCCCCCTTTTTACATCCCACACCCTCCCTCTTGCACCCCAGCCCCTTGATGCCTCCTTCTCATCCCCCTACCCTCTATCTGTTTTAGCACTCCACCTTCACCCCTTTTATCCCTCCCTTTTTTGCACCTTCACTACCCCTGTTACCCCTCTTTTTGCATCCCCCCATATCCCCTTTATCTGTCACTTGTGTGTCCCCCACCACCCCTTTATCCTTCCTCCCTGTCATCCCCTTTTTCTGCACTCTCATCTCCCTGTTATCCTCCCTTTATGCACCATCACCTTAAATCCCTGTTTTTGTTCTTTCATCACTCCCTTTATCATCCTTGTCCATCTTCCCATCCTCACTTTTTGTACTTCCCCTTCATCCAATTCCCCACCTTTTTGCACCCTCTTTTGCACCCCATCACCCCCTTTTTCCTCTCCTTTTTGTATCCCTATCACCCATTTTCTTCTCCTCTTGCACTCTTCTTTTATAGAATCCCCCCATTTTTGCACCCCCATTGTCCCCCATTTCTGCACCCCCACGAACTCCCCCACCTTCAACCAGCAGGAAGAACCCTCGGGGGTTTTTCTGGAGCATCCTGATGGCCACGGACACCATCTCGCTGAGGGACGGGTCTGTATCGTTGTTCCTGTCCAGCTCGTACATCATGTCCCCTGGCTCGAAGAGGCCTGGGGACAGGGACACTGCTGGAGACATCCTTTTCCACCAAAAGAAAAAAGGGGGGCCAAATCCTGCTCCTTGTGCTGACTCAAGTGTTTCACACACCGCTGGATTCAGGAAGATTAGATAGAAGCCGGACAATCCCAGCCCTTCCTTCCTCCTGCCCTGCTGGATTCCACATTCCAGTTGGGATGGGAATTTCACTGCTGACAAAAGAACTGCATCCCTAGGAGGGAGATGTGTCCCAGGGTGGGAGCAGCAGCACCTTTGGGGGTGTAACATTGTCTTTGGTGGGCAGCACATCCTTGAGGGCACACCAGGATGGGGCACCAGCATTTCCAGGGAAATTGCAGCCTCTTTGGGAGGTGGCAGCAGGAGCAACACCCTTGGGGGTGTAACAGCATCCCTTTGGGGTATCAGCATCCCCAGGGGAGGTAACAGGATCGTTTGGGGGGTACCAGCATCCCCAAGGGAATAGAACCATGTTTGGGGGCTACCAGCACGTCCAGGACAGGGCACCACCATCCCTTGGAGGATAACTGCCCACTGCAGCTGCCCCAGCAGCCCAGGACAGGACAGGGGTCCCCCTAAAGCACCCAGCTGATGCCAGGGCACCCGTGGGTGCAGGGACTCACCCAGCAGGAAGTCAACACGGGTGAGGTTGAGCGCCAGCAGCCCTCGCCGGTGCCACACGTACTCAGCAACCTGGGGACAGGGGACAGGCATTGTCACCTCTCCATTGCTTCTGCCATCCCTGGGATGCTCCCCAAGGTATTCCAGCCCTAGGAATGGCTCTGCAGGGTTACAGGGGGGTGATGTGTGTGCACCCCAACCCCAGAGTCCCTGTCACCTTGCTGCGGGGCTTGGCCTCCCGCCACGCCTGCACCAGGTTCCGGCCGTCCAGGCGGGTGCCCCGCTGCTTCTCCTCGTGGGGATACTCCACATCACTGGCATTTCTGGGGTACATATATTTCCGCCCTCCACCCAGGATCACCTGCAAAAGAGGGGTGGAAATGTAGTTTTAAATATTTTAAAATTATTTTTAATCTCTCCCTCCAGCTGGGGTTTAATAGGGGAAGACCCCAAAGGGGCGGAGTGGGATGTCCAGGAAAGCCCTGCAGTTGTGGGCAAAAACACCCGAGGAATTTCACCTCGCTCAAAATAACTCCGAATATCTCCCTATTAATTAAAACCCAGGACAAAAATAACCATTTCCAGCAGGGATTTGGCTTTTTGAATATTTTTTCCCCAATCTGTGGGAAGGATGCTCCACATTGGGATCCCCACATGAACCCGCTGGGATGGAGCCCCATCCCGCGGCTCTCCCTGTTTGCTTTGGAGCCTGATTTATTTGGCCTCTGTTATTTATAACCAAGCAGAGATTTTATGTTTTTTTTGTATTTTTTCCCCCTTTCTCTGTGTAGAAGGTGAATTATAAAGCTGCAAAACACCAACGCCAAAATTATTAACAAAAAAGAAGGGAAAAAAAGTCTTTTCCCCACTATATAATTATTTCCAGCCTGGGACAGAGTTAAAATTATATTAAAGGGAAAAAAACACAGCAAAAGAGGCTATTAAAGAGCTAAATAACAGGCTGGGATGTTTTGCTTTGGGGCTATTTTGAAGGACAGAAGAAGATTTATTTACAGTGCTGAATTTCTGCATAAATCCACAGTAAGGAGCAGAACGTGGGGAAAAAGGAAGAGTTTTGGGTCTGGGAAGTATGGGAAGGGAAGAGGCTAAGATGGATTTGTGGGGCTTGATCCTACAGGTGCTTATGTTCCAAAATCTATGTCTGAATTTCCTGGTCCCCATGTCCACCTGAAAGTGCTGGTATCACATCTATGGTGGTCCTGGTCCCATATTTGATGAGGGTCCCAACTCTGTACCCATGGGTGGTCCTGGTTCTGCATCCATGGGTGGTCCCAGCCTACCATTGTATTGAGGTTCCAGCTTTGTACCCATTGGTGGTCCTGGCCCCATATCCACCCACAACCCTGGTTCTGCAACCATGGCTGCTCTCAGCCTCACATTTGCAGGGGTGGGGCTTGTCTTGTACCCACTCACAGTCCTGACCCTGCACCCCTTGGTGGTTCCAGCCCAGCATCTCCTGGGAGTCCTGGCTCTTCAACCAGTGGTGGTTCCAACCCAGCATCTCCTGGGAGTCCTGGCTCTTCAACCACTGGTGGTTCCAACCCAGCATCTCCTGGGAATCCTGGCTCTTCAGCCACTGGTGGTCCTGGTCCCACATCTATCCACAGCCCTGTCCCCACCCTTGGGTGGCTCCAACCCGCACCCCAGCTGTCCTGGTCCCATCCCCCTGCCTGTAGGGCACATTCCTGGTGTCCTGATCCCTACCTCGATGTCAGGGATGTTCTCCACCAGCTGCCGGGCGATGTCCTTGCAGCCCCCCTCCAGGGCGTCTGGGGGCATCTCCCCATCCGAGTACCAGTCGCGGTTGGCAGAGTGGGCGTAGGCGGCGCTGGGCGTGGCATGGGTCACGCGCGTGGTGGTGACGATGCCCACGGCTTTGCCTGCGCCACCAGTTCAGGGGACAACGGTGAGAACACCCCCAAACCGCCCGCTGGAGCTCCTGCCCAGGAGTGTCTCCATCCCTCACCTGCCTCCTTGGCCCAGCGGAGGATGGAGGTCACCTCCTGGCCCTTGGTGGTGTTGCAGCGGTCCCGGGTGACGCCGGCGCTGACCCCCAGTGTCCCCTCGTTGGCTTTGACACCGCAGAGGTAGGCGGTGGCCGTGCCCGCGCTGTCGGGCACCTGGGCGTTGGTGTTGTAGGTCTGGAAGGTGGGAGATGGATAAACCCCGTCGTTATCACCACCATCATTGTGTTCAACACCCCCAGTGCCACTGACAGCACCGTTCCCACCCTGGGGCTTCCCTCCCTGAGCTATTTGGCTGCACCAGACCCCCATCCCACCTGTGTCCCCTCTTTTTGCCCTTTGCCCCCCGTTTCACCCCTGCTCCCTCCACCGTGGAGGCACATCCCCCCCTCACTGCATTTTGCTGCTTTTAGCCTTTTTTCAGTCCATCTTTTGGCAGGGAGATGGAAGCCACTGCCACGGGCATCCCCACGGGGTGAGCTGAGGTGGCTGCTGGCTTCCAATTTAATTATTATTTTAAAATGTTTTGTTCAGCAAAACGAGCCCGGCAAGAAGCAGGGGGGTCCCGTGGTGGCGTCCCGCAGCCGGCGGGCTCCTCCTGTCCCCTCCCCGTTCCCACGGCCGGCCCCTGGCACGGCCAGCGGGCACCGGAGCCAGCTGCCTTCGCCCGCCCCTGACCTAATTTCAGCTCGGTCGATGCCTCCCGCCCGTGGCCTTGCGGTGGGTGCCGCGTCCCCGTGGGGGCTCACCTTGGCCAGGGCCACGAAGGGGAACTTGTCCATCTCCAGCAGGCTCTCCTCGCCCTGCCCGTGCAGCTGCCCTTTGAGGATGCGGGCGGCCGTGACCGTGGAGACGCCCATGCCTGCGGGACAGTGTCAGCCGCGCAAAGCCCGCACAAACCCCGCTCATCTCCACTCAGCCTGATGTCCAGTTTATCCCATCGCTCAGCTCATCGCAGCAACCAATTTTTGCAAGCCCAGTTTATTGTGCAGCCAGTTTATCCCAGCTCCCAGTTTATCCCAGTAGCCACTTCTCATTGCAAAGCAAGTTTATCCCAGCTCCCAGTTTATTGCAACACCCGACTTTTTGCAAATCCAATTCATTCCAGCACACGGTTTATCCCAGCACCCACTTCATTGCAATCCCAGTTTATGCCAGCATTCAAATGATGGCAAAACCAATTTACCTGAGCACCCAATTCTTTGCCAGTTCAGTTTATCCCTGCACCAGGTTACTGCAATCCCAGTTCATTGCAGCACCCAGCTCATGCCAGCACCCAATTTTTTGCAACCCAGTTCACCCTGGCACCCAATATTCATTGCAAACCCAGCTTATTGCAGCACTCAACTTACTCTAAATCCAGTTCATACCAGCACCCAGTTTATCCCAGCATCCACCTTAACACAAACCCAAACTAATTGCAGCAACCAATATTTTTTGCAAATCCAGTTTATCCAGCACCCACAAATAGAGTTTACTGTAAACTCAATTTACCATAGCACCCATTTTTTTGTAAATCCAGTTCGTTGCAGCATCCAGTTCACCCCAGAACAGCCTTTTTAAAAACCCTGTTCACACCAGCACCCAACTTATAGGAACCCCAGTTTATCCCAGAACACAACTCACCACAGCACCGATTTTTCCACAACACCCAATGTGTCAAAGCCTCAGTTTATCCCAGCACCCACTTTATCCCCCCCACTTCATGCACCGCCCCAGGGTGGGTGCTGCCCTCCCATCTCACCGTCCCCCAGGAACAGGATGAGGTTCTTGGCCACGTTCTGGTTGAGGCGCTGGAGCCGCAGCGCGTTCCTCAAGGTCTCCTGCGCCTGCCGCCGCCAGTACTCGGGGTCCTTCTCCCTCTCTGTGGGGGAACGGGCTCATAGCACCCCACAGCACAGCTTTTGGGGGGCTGTCCCCCCAAACCTCACCTACCCGGGACCAGCGATGCTGAGCAGAGCTGGGCGAGGAGGAGGAGGACGAGCAGAGCCTTCATCCTGCGGTGCTGAGCGGGTGCTGCCAGGAGAGAGCTGCAAAGAGGGTGGCACCCGCTTGTGCCTCAGTTTCCCCGCTGAGAACTTTGCCCTGGGGTCAGCCAAGCGAGGACGGAAAGAAATGTCCCCTCCGATGTGACCCCCCTGGGGACATGCCAGCACCCCCCCCACCCTGCCTCCCTGGCCATCAGTCCCATGAGGTGTCACCTCACTGTCACCAACGGATGGCCCCTGTGGCACAGTGAGGTCCCCATCACATGGCCATGTCCCCATCACATGTGTGCTCCCCTTCCATGCCCGTGTCCCCATCATGCTCTTGTGCACCTCTCATGTGTCCCTGTCACCTCTGTGCTCCCATGCCACATCCCTGTCTCCACATCACATCTCCAGTCCCATCACACACCCGCGTCCCCACCACGTCCCCTGTGTGTGTGCCATGTCCCTAATGTCCCCATCCCACACCCCTGTCCCCATCCCTATCACACACCTGCGTCTCAGTTGCATTTCTGTCCCTGCTGTGCACCCACGTCCCCACATGACCGTGTCCCATGACACATCCATGTCCTCGCTGCACACCCGTGTCCCCATCCCGTGGCTTTGTGCCCACCACACGCTGTGGCCCCACTGCATGTCTGTGTCCCTGTTGCACACCCAGGTCCCTGTAGCATCTCCGTGTCCCCGTTGTCCCCACCACGCTCCCGTGTCCCCATGGCACTCTCTGTCCCCATCACCCGCACATCCCCTCCCCTCCGCCGCACGCCCCCTCCCCAGAGAGCCTCCCTCCGTGCCCCGGGATGGCAGCGGTGCCCCCGGGGCTCCTTACCGGGGGTGGGGGCTGTCACACTCGTACCCGCACTAACTTGGGTCCCTACACCCACGTCCCTCTGGGCGGCGGGAGGAGGCCGGGCCGGGGGGACCGCGAGCCCTTAAATCCCCCCGCACCCGGCCTTCGCCTCCTCCTCCTCCTCCCCTTCCTCCACCCTCCCCCTGCTGCCAGCAAGGGGGGGCGGGAGGAGAAAAGGCCACAACTGGGCTTACTGGTGCCCTCTGCCGGGTTATACTGGGAGGACTGGGAGGACTGGGGAGCACCAAGCCTGGCTGCAAGTGCTGAGCAACCCTCCCCCTCTTCACACGCGGGAGTTTGGGGTGCCTCTTGGCGGGGTGGATGTGTGCTTTGCCGGATTTTGCATTATTTTCACCCAAACTATGCTAGCTGCACCAGCGAGGGGTTGGGGTGGGGGTGATGGAGATGAATGGGGTCTCCCTGCCTCAGTTTCCCCGCACGGGCTCCTGCAGCAGCCCACGAGAGATCCCTGGTGGGATCCCGCGGCATTGCTGTCGGTCCCACAATAAACACGGCGTGGTGACGAGGGCGGGGGTGACTCCCAGCCCTGCCTCAGTTTCCCCGTGCCGTGGGCCCGGGGGGCTCCGTGACCCGCAGAGCCGTCCGTGACCTCCCAGAAGGTGGCGGTCTCA